GACAAACAGATCGGCAAGCGGAGGAAGACTGGAAAGCAGGGGGCGTTTCGGCCAGGGCGCTCTCCGGAGCGAGCGCGGGAGCTGGCGCTGGGGCCTGGAACGCCGAGCGTCCCGGGCCAGGGACCTAGTGGAAGCAGACAGGACGCCATAGTTTTCTGAACATGCGCACAGGGCCGCTGTGCTGGCCTCATTACTCTACGGCCGGAAGCGGTTCCTAGGTGCCTCGTTAGCGCAGTAGGCAGCGCGTCAGTCTCATAATCTGAAGGTCGTGAGTTCGATCCTCACACGGGGCACAGTAGTTTTGTTCGTTCCTATATCTTTACTCTTGCAAGAAAGACGGGTTTTGTTTGCCGGGCTGTGGACGGGGAGACCCCGAGCGTGCGCGCTTTCCCCTGCCGGGGTCCCCGGTGTGTCGCCCTCCGCTCGGCTCGACCTCTCTCCCCGAGGTAGCGGGGACCCGACGGGTGACTGACCTAAACTCTCCCGACGCTGCCGCGCTGCCCCGCGGCTCTCGGCGTGCTGGGCGGAGGGCGGAGGACCAGACGGAAGGCGGGGGCATGGCGACAGGGGGACGCTGGCGGAAGACGCCTCTTAGGAAGAACCTCAGCCTCACCACCTCCGCCCTGCCCGCCTAACAGTCCTGTTGGTCCTGCCCTTGCCCCTGAGCACTGGCGTCGCGGGGGACGCGCACAGCCGGGAGCACGCGCTGCTCACCCGCCAGGAGGGCGCTGCCAGCGCCCTGGTGCAAGGCCCCCTGATGGGGGCTGCAAGGAGAGACAGGAACACAGGCCCCCGGGGCGGGGGCTGATGCCTGACACCTGGCACCAGGGAAGGGTGGGTCTAGGGGGCTGTGGGAGGTGGGCGGCACGCGATGAGAGGCCAGACGGTAGGGGCCACTGAACACCATGCGGAGGAGTTCTGGCTGTGGAGCTGGGGAGTGGCAGGACGTGATAGGGTCTAGGGGAGGGGTCGTAGGGAGGCCCTGCAGGCCGCTGCTGGGGGCTAACACGGCGCGGGCTGTGCCGGTCCTGCGTCTGAGACGGTTGCCGCAACCGCTGTCACCATCGACGGTTTCTGACAGTGCAGTCATTCTGCACAGGGCAAATAGCAAGTTCAATTGAGGGGTGACAGCTGTAACCATCCCTTCGTCTTGCACGATTTGATGGCGGCACCGATCTCTGCAGTTCCCCATCAGGGATGCGGTAATACTTTGGTTTACTCTCCTGGTAGGGGGCACCTTCCAGAGGCTTTCACTTGGCTCTTTCTACCATAAAGACCGTTACTCAGTGGGTCACAGTGCCACTGTGGAGATTCTGCCATTTGTCAGTATGTTTATTCTAATTATACACTCAGGTACTCGGGAACTAACCACAGTTGGTTCATGGCCCTGCTTCATCCACTGTAATTCAGACTTGGCCCAGACTTCTTCATCACCTGACCCCCACTAGCCCTGACTTTGGTGTCAAATTTAAAGCCAATGTCTAGTGTCCCTGAAAGGTCTGGGTGTTTTCTTTTCCCTCCTACGCATTCAAATAAATGGCAACAGGTCCCTTTGGGGAAGGCCTGGGGCATTATTTATCCTACATGTATGGGGCACTCACTGCTGCAGGATCCTTCCTGCAGGGGACCTGGCCTCCCCTTCAATCACGAGGCTTCGGATCTGGAAATGAGTTTAAGTCTGGAAAATGGGTGACAGGTATAGCTCTCCATCGTGGTGACTCAAGTCAGCTTTTCGGCCCCCGGATCTGAAGTTTTCCCAGTTGCATCTATCAGGCAGCATTTTCGTAGGCTATCTCCTTCATTCTTGGGGATAACATAATCAATTACCAGTAGCCAAAAATCCCTTACCACTGCTGCTTCTCTGCTGCTAAATGCTTGTCTTCGGTAGTTAAATGCCACACTCAGCCTCTGCTGCGATGGAATCCCATCGTCCCCACTGAAGTCAGGGAGCACATCCATGGTGGCGTCGCACCATCACACACCAAGAGAGGAGAGCCACCACAGAGCTGTTCAAGTTTGCAGATGCTCCTTTCACTCGATGCCGTGACAAAGGGAGCATCTTTGGGGCTGAGCATGCAATTGGGAGGTGAACAAGAAGTTCATTTGTGATAAATCCACTCTTACATTCCTCCCTTCCTAAGCCTTTGGATACCTTCATCTACATCATGACAGGGAAATTCTAGCCTCTCAATCTGATTAAATAGAGGCTGACATTGAGGCCACATGTCTGTCAACCAACCGAGTAAACTTAAGAGCCACTTCCAATTGCATGGGTGTGCCCACTATCTACTGCCTGCCTCTCAGCTCCACGTGCCCTCTTCAGCAGCTGCTCTGCAATAAGGGACTGGACTCTCCACGCGCTTCTCCTTAGTGTGCTCGAGGGGCGGCCGTCAGTAGAGGGTGCTGGAGGACACGGCAGGAGGAACGGGCTCCTCTTTCTAGCTCCAATGTGCTGTGTTGCTTCTTCTTGCTCCTGCTTCCTGGTCCATCAGCAGCGTGTGTGCGGACATTCAGTGGTGCTCTGCCCCAGCCGTGCGCCCGGAGCGCACAAGGTCTTGGTGACTCTACAGCCCCGGCCTGATGAGCACTTTGCTGCAGTCCTCGCCACGTGGACATGGCACGCTCAGCCTTGGTTTGCCTGTGCCCCAGGGGGTGCTTTCCCATGGCCCTCTGGACATGCACAGTGCAGGACAGTGCACACACCAGGCCACACCCAACCCTGCCTACACCCCGGGGCCTGATGCCGACTCCCTATGTGCTTTCAATACTGCCTCAACCTGCCCGCACCCCAGACTTCCCTCCTGCTGCCTGCGGACTGTCGGCCGGCTCTGGCCTGGGCAACCCAGCAAACTCTCCGTTAGGCAATGGTCTGCAACCGCACCTTCTCCCACCAGGGCTGAGCCTGAGCCTGGGGAGGCAGGGGCCTCCCTTCCAATTCTGTCCCTCCTGGAGTACTCTCCCTCAGTCCTAGGCACGCTTGAGTTCTCGTCACATCTTTATAGTTACTCCCCTATCATAGTTCAATAACGATTTATATGAGATTTTTCCTGTTTAACTATCGTGTGGTTTGTCTCCTGATAGGACCCAGACTGATATGAGATTGAACAGTAAGCCCAGAATCTGTGCTTAGTGCCCCCACACTACGGTCCTCGTAGTCATGACTGCTGAAACGTCAACACGGAATCACCGTGGACAGGCCTCCAGCAAACGCTCAAATCCCGCTCCACATCAGAATTCACACCAGAGAAGAACCAAATGAATGTAATAAATGTGCAAAGGGCTTTAACCAAGTTAGTAACGTATTCATTCAACACCACTGAATAAATCCTGGGAGAGACTCTCTAAGTGTAATCGATGTGGAGACAGAACCCCAAATCTACCCAACATGGTACACGAGAGAGAAACCGCATGGATGTAATAAATAGGAAAAGGCCTTTAGGAACCGCTTCGCTTTAACAAACTCAACCTTTATTCAATTCCTAGAGAATTGACATCATAAAGAAATTGGGGTAAGGTTGAGGATATAATGTCAAGAAGCAGGAAGAGATAATCAGAAATGTATTTCATTAAATGCGATAACCTTTGAAATGCTAACCAAGCACATATGACTGAAGAGATTCAGCCAAGTATCTGAAATCTGCTAAGGCAGTGACTTTATCAAGATTACTACTGGGAGAACTGTAGGCTCAGAGGAAACTGAAAAAATGTGATAAAAAGAACTTCTTCATTTGGTTGAGAGTATGCATAACTCACTTTCACTGGATAAACGGAAACTTTTTAAAAATGAAATAACTGTAATACTGTAAAGGAAGTGTGTGTGTGTAGTTGCAAAACCAATCTGAGCCGGTGTAAATTCTAGTAAAAGAGGACCTGAAGTAAAGATAAAAAAGTGGCAATATACAGCGGATTCTGGCTGGCAGAATCACAATATTTTAGAATTTGAATGCTTTTGGGTGAACAAGCAATTTCTCTTTCTCCCAAGTTCCCATCATACCCTATGTATTTTATATCCTGTGACTTTCTGTTGCCAAACACACCATCCTGGCCCATGAGGCCTGCTGTAACTACCAGAAATCAGGCGGAGGGAAGTGCTCTTGGGAAAGCAGCGCCTTGCACAGTGATGGGGTCTTATTTTAGGACTTTGCCTATTGGACAAAAGAGAGCCCTCTGCTGACTGAAAATAACTGGTTTACCGTAAGATTATGCTTTGTGACCCCAGAAAGGAGAATTACTACCATGTATTGCACACTTATTGTCTGTCAAGTGTGGTACCAGGAACTTTATGTACTTTACTGTATTTAATCCTCGCATCAAGTCCATGAGCTATTTCTACCCTCCTTTTAAAACTAGGTTCAGAGAAGTAATTTGCCCAGGATGATGAAGTCGTGAGCAGCCCTGCTGTGGAGCTAAGAGGGGGAGAGTAGTCGGTGCTGTCAGAAGCAGGCAGAGGGCAGGAGAAGCTGGAGACACAGAGACAGAGATACCAATGGCAGGAGCACGGTTGGATCACTGGCGAAGAGGAGGTCCTGCTGCTGGGCAGACACAGGGCTAGAATCCAGGCCGCTCCCCGCTGGTGGTGCTGTCGAGCCCTGCTAAGTTTGCTCTCAGTCCTGGGTGTACCACTGTTGACACAGTATCCTGCTCTTTATCTCTCGGTTTATCTTTAAAATCAACCCTCATCAACTAAAGTTACTGAGGTTTATGCTGCTCCTTGCAACCTGAAAAACCCCAACACAAGTTTCAATAGCTACAAATATTTTTTTGTGTGTGTGAGGAAGATCAGCCCTGGGCTAACATCCATGCCAGTCCTTTTGTTTTTTGTTTTTTTTGCTGAAGAAGACTGGCCCTGGGCTAACATCTGTGCCTATCTTCCTCCACTTTATATGGGACGCCGCCACAGCATGGCCTGACAAGCGGTGCGTCGGTGCGCACCCGGGATCCGAACCCAGGCCGCCAGCAGCAGAGCGCACGCACTTAACCGCTACACCACAGGGCTGCCCCTGCAAACATTTTTTTATTGTGAAAAGTACAAGGAGCCATTTATAAGCCAAAAAGCATCAGAATTAAATAGAACACATAATTTTTATACACACATTTTTCTATACAAAAGGTTGATCTCTATAGGAATTTAAAATAAATAATCTAAAAATCAGTGTCATTGATTGCAAAATAGTTCTCTCTCTTTGACTATCTCGAGGGGACAAGCCTCCTATGTAGCCAAAAGATGAGGCGTCTGACACCTGTGTCGAGCCTGGGCGGTGAGTCTCTGGCGAAGATTTCTCACTCTCTCCATCAGATCCCGTTCCATGGTGTCCCACTGGATTTTTCTTTGATTTAAAGAAACTTGAAAACAAAATTTAAAATTAATAATAGTTTCATTTTCTAATGCTAGCAATGATACAGCATTTATTTTAAAGGTAAAAATGTTGCAAAAAGTCAATAATGAAATAAATATTCTAAAAACCAAATTTCTTAAACAAAAAAGCCTAATATATTACTGGCCCTATGTGGTTCCATTTACAGGCCGAATGTTTGTTAAACTGAATTAATGCTATCAGAGAACTTATCTACTTTTGGTTATTTAGCATTTTTTTTCTTTGGGGGATACAGACAATCTTTTAAATTAGGAACAAAACTTGTCTAAGAGAGAATTTGAGTTCTTTGCAACAGTAGTTTCCTTCCTATGATGCTTAATGGAAGTGAGAAAAGGCAATCCAAGTTGCCAAAATTAATACTGCAAAATGTACACTGTGACCACTTCCCAATGATTAAACAGAAATAAGTAAATCAAATGCTTTTTTTTTGTGTGAGGAAGATCAGCCCTGCGCTAACATCCATGCCACTCCTCCTCTTTTTGCTGAGGAAGACCGGCCCTGAGCTAACATCTATGGCCAATCCTACTCCTTTTTTTCCCTTTTTCTCCCCAAAGCCCCAGTAGATAGTTGTATGTCATAGTTGCACATCCTTCTAGCTGCTGTATGTGGGACGCGGCCTCAGCATGGCCAGAGAAACAGTGCGTCGGTGCACGCCCGGGATCTGAACCGGGGCTGCCAGTAGGGGGCGCGCGCACTTAACTGCTAAGCCACAGCGCCGGCCCTCAAATGCTTTTAATAGTAGCTAACACAGAAAGAGTCCAGAATAGAGGTGAAAGCACTACCATGTGTCCTAGTGTAACTGCCATCCCGTACTCATTCAGAGGGGCGGGTAAACACTGGAATTTGAAGGAAAAAAAAATCTTAAAAATACACTTCTCTGAAACGTAGTTACATATTGTTTCAACTTCTGCAAACTATTTCCCCCCCAAAGGAATACAACTTTTATGCTTTTTTGTTTTGCTCCCAAATAACCTAAACTTAACCAAATATCCTCAACTCGATTTTCAATTTAGAATTATTTAGTTAAAAAGTTAAGTTCTGACATGTGAGAATAGAGAACAGTTGAGAATCTCTTGTACTTTCATTTGACTTACGCATGACTTTTGGTTTAACTTATATTCTGACACCAAATTTATAGATGCCTATAAAAGTATGAATTAGCAAAAATATTTTACACAACACTGGAATCTCAGTGGACTTGTTATTAAGTGTCTTTCTTATAAAGCTAGTCTTAGGGAACACTGTATAAAAGTTCATTCTTCTAAAAGAACTCAGAAGACCTTGTTAAATTCTGATTCATCTATACGACAGTTTTACTGAAAAAGTCATTTCAAATAAAGTCTCACAGAGTTTCTTGTTCCTTCCCCACCTTTTAAAAAACAAATCAAAGACTTTCCTGGGAAATTGTTAGCTCCTTTATGGGCTAATGCTATGACTACATTTCCGTAAGATGTTTCCACCCTGTCCCTTCCAAAAATAAACAAAACCTCCGGCAAATCAAGTCAAAGGATCAAAAGTCCACGAATCAGCATGAAGCCACCTGCCCTCAGCGGGTCTGACCCAGGCTGTCCCAGTGCTCAGTCCATCAGGGCCCACAGCAAACACAAGTTTTCAATGGAGCCCAGCCCAGAACAGAGTCAGAAAATTCAAATATTAGTAATAGCTTTGAAAAATAATGCTGAGGTTTTCTTTTCACAAGGATGTAAAAATAGTTATGAGTATCATTAATTTAGTGAGTGACAGGCTTCTGCTGGAGCCTCCAGCTCTGGTTTTGGACAGCAGTGCTGATGCTGAAGAAATGGAGAAGCATTAGCGATATCTGGCAAACTTTCTTGTACTTGGGTTTCGGTCTGATCCAGTTTTTCGCCAGCTGGAAATCTGAGAATCTTGCCACCTCCATTTTCGGATTTCCATTATCAATGCCCTGGGAAAATGGCATCGATGTGCCATAAATATAATTTAAGCCACAATCTTGCTTAAATATTGCTAAATTTTCAAAGATAGAAGAAATCTTTCTTGCTTATCAACTTACTCCGTGCTGAGGAATCCACTTCACAAATGTCACTTAATTGTGAGGTTCCAGGCAAACAGCTTGAGGCGACCTGTTCATTTTGGCATCTGGGCACTACTGTTATAAAAGTGAGGAGATAAACATGATGTTTGAGAGTGAGTGGAAAGCCTTTATTAATTCCAAATGCTCCCCAGTCAATTAAAATTGCCAAGGACAGGGGCCGGCGTGGTGGCGTAGCGGTTAAGTGCGGCATGCTGCCCTTTGGCGGCCCCAGTTCGCGGGTTTGGATCCTGGGGTGGACTTACACCACTCATCAAGCCATGCTGTGGCACCGACCCACATACAAAATGCAGGAAGAGTGGCACAGATGTTAGCTCAGAGCCACTCTTCCTCAAGCAAAAAGAGGAAGATTGGCAACAGAAGTTAGCTCAGGGCCAATCTTCCTCACCAAAAAAAAAAAAAAATTGCCAAGGATGAAAAGCCTTTTACTTTTCTGTTCTGAGAAGAATGCTGTCACCACTCAAAAGGCAAGGCAAGTGCAGTTAGTGAGAATTAAGAGCTGAGCTGAAGTTTTGGTAACGTATTTTCAAAACACCCTTAGTTAAAACCAAAAGCCAACAAATAATTCAAAAATATATATATACTAGGATAGAGATCCTGAATATTTCTTAGAAGAGATTGTGAAATGCGATCAGCAAGCCTTTCCTGAGAACTACTGTGAGCTGCTCACTGCTGGCTTTAACCAGGCGGGGCCTCATCACAGAGCCAGCCTGACCGGCAGCCGCCTCAGAGCAGTAAGCACAGCAGTGTGCCAGCACCCATCTGGTGCCCCCCTATTTAACTAATCGCTCTCCTCACCTCACAGTTTATGCTCACCCTTCAGCTGTGTTTTTACTGGTCCCTAACTCCTACAGCTTTACATCCAATGAGACACAAGGTCTTTTTGATTTTTCATCCTAACGCTGCTTATAGCTGTCCCTTCCTTTCTACTCCCATCCCCCGGGTCCGAGCCTCCAGGAGGCAGGCCCAGACTGCTGGGGTCACATCGACTCATTAAAATGCTTTTACCTGGTCTCAAGAGCTGTAGTTTTAGCTCAACAAGTCATTAAGACAAATCTGACTAATTACCAAATGACTAATTTGGAATGGAATACAGGAGTCATCTTCAAATATCCAAGGGGCTGGCATGTGGCAGAGGCAGTAAATGTAATTAATCTGCATTGCTCCAGAGAAGAGTGTCTAGTGAGAGAATTAAAATAAAAACAAAAAAACAAAACAAAAACAAAACCAGATTCAACTTTACAGGAGGAAGGAGTCACTTTTAAATGAAATACTGGCAGAAGACGGAATAAGGTACTGGGCTCTCCAGTTCGGTAAGTATTCCAGCACAGGCTGGAAGACCACTATCACAGCGCTGCAGAGAAGATACACGGATCAGACCCTGGTTCCTCAGATCCTTCCCAGCCTGAGATCTCACAGTTCCTTGTCTCTTATCTGTTCTCCCAAATCCATGCTGCCACGGCTGGTTAATTCATCTTCCCAGAGGGCCACATTGTAAATATTCTCTCTGTTCCTTTAGCCTACGGCAATGTTTCAAAAACTGGCTAAGCAGATTCACCTGTGAAACCTTAGAACAAAAATCTAACTTCCTAGCTTCCATCCTAGATCTATCAAATTAAATTACCATTGGTGAGGTCTTGATTAAATGTATTTTTAAAAAATAATCTGCAATTTACAAAAAAGATAATAAATGCTAATTGTAAGAAATTTGAACACAAAAGGAATAAAGTAAAAAGTGAAAGTTTCTTTTCCTATACTTTTTGAACTGCAACTTGTTTTTCTTAATATATATATTTTAAAGTCCCAAAGGTGATTCTTATTATTTTAAATTAGTATTTATTTACTGAATTGGAATTACATGAACCATAAAATTCAAAAGGAACAAAAGGGCACAAATTATAATTTTATTTTATTTTTTTCCCCCCCAAAGCCCCAGCAGATGTTGTATGTCACAGCTGCACATCCTTCTAGTTGCTGTATGTGGGACGCGGCCTCAGCATGGCCAGAGAAGTGGTGCTTCAGTGCGTACCCGGGATCTGAACCCGGGCCGCCAGCAGCGGAGCACGTGTACTTAACCACTAAGCCACGGGGCCGGCCTAAAAGGGCACAAATTAAATGTCCTTCCTTCTCCTACCCAGGAGGCAAGCCCTATACAAAGTGTTCTCCACAGGTCATTCTCCTATGCAGCCAGGTTGGCAAACAGGATGGGGCCCAATTCCTGAGCCCGGCACTCAAGGCCCTATCATCTACCTTCTCCAATGGCATCTATACCCGTCCTTGTGTTGTCTCTCTGCTCCAGCTGGCCTAACGTACACCCCCATGACAGGCAACTTTCTGCCATTGATTAATTACATTTAATAAGTTCTATCACAAACAAACAAAGTTCATAGAGGCCTTTGGTTGATGAATCCACAAAATTATACGGGAAAATTTTGTGTGTATGTTTATGTGCAAGTTTCTGGGGGAGATTCTCAGAGAGGCCCACAACCCATAAATGGTTAGAAAACAGTGTAATATAATGTTAGAACCATAACAAAATTAAAGATCACCTAGTCTATAATCTTCTCATTTTACAAATGAGAAAACTGAAGACCAGTACACATTTCTGAATAAATTCCAATGAATGAAGGCAAGTAGTTAAATAAACTAGCCAGAGGCACACAGCTTAGTGACTCCGCCTAAGTTGACTTAAACTCTTGTGCTCACTTGCCATAAAGGTGGGACTCGGGCCCAGTGCTCCTGTCCTGTCGTCCAGTTTGGGCTCCTGCACCACACCGTGAAATTCTCCCTCTGACATGTCCTCCCCACTGCTCTAAGCCCTTCCCTTTCTTCAAAGCCCAGGAGTTTAAAAACCTGGGCCAATGGCCCCACAACATTTACTAATGTCTTTTTAAAAAAAATAACAGTTTCATGGAGATATAATTTACATTCCATAAAATTCACTCTTTTAAAGTGTACAATTCAGTGTTTTTAGTATAGAGTTGTGTAACGTCACCACTAATTCCAGAACATTTCCATCACCTCAAAAAGAAACCCCATACTCATTAGTAGTCACCCCCCAAACCCTCAGCAACCACTAATCTACTTTCCGCCTGTACAAATTTGCCTACTCTGGACATCCCATATGAAGAGAATCATATGATATGTGACGGCTTTATGTCTGGCTTCTTTATCTTAACAAAAGGTCTTTAAGGTTTATCCATTTTGTAGCTTGAGTCAGTACTTAACTCCTTTTTATTGCTAAATAAGTTTCCACTGTATGGATCTACCATATTTTGTTGATCCATTCCTCATTGGATAGATACTTGGGTTGTTTCTACTTTTTGGTTATTATGAATAATGATACTATGAGCATCATTATAAATTTTTGTAAGGACATGTTTTTGCTTCTCTTGGATATATATCTAGGAGTGGAATTGCTTGGACATATAGTAGTCACTCTACGTTTAACCTTTTGGGGAACTGCCAAACTTTCCCAAAGTGGCTACACCATTTTACATTCCCACCAGCACTGTTCCGATTTCTCTGATCCTCACCAATACTTGTTACTGTTTGATTATAGTCTGCTAGTGGGTGTGAAGTGCTATCTCAGTGCGTTTTTTTAAAATTTTAATTATTTTCTCTTTGGTTTTGATTTGTATTTCCCTAATGACTAATGAAGTCGAACATCTTTTCATGTGTGTATTGGTCATTTGTATGTCTTTTTTGGAGAAATGTCTATTCAAATCCTTTGCCCATTTAAAAATTTGGACTAATATTATTTTATAAGACATAGCTATTCAGCTACAGTTTAAGTTTCCGGACCTGGGATTTTAGCGGCAGAAGGTTCTGTTTTCTGGAAGACAATAAGAATTTCCTCCCCATTGCTAATAAAGATTTGACACTGGGTGAAATTTTAAATAAGTGCCCTGTTGTTGGCACACGCTTATCTGTTTCCTACTTGCTGGTGCCTCCCTTCTAGGCTCTGAGTGACAAACCACTGCTGAGCACCTCCAGTCAAAACACTGTTTGCCTAATTATAGTTGATTATCTGCCAGTTTTCAGATTAAATGACTCTGATTTAATTTATACATCCTGATTAAGAAAATGACAAATCTTTACATTTTACCTTTTGAAAAATGGATGATTATTAACCAAATTATCTATCATTGGTGAAATTTAGGACAGTTAAAAAATTTTAGGTAAAAAACATGGCAGGAAGACATCATGGAGGCAGAGAGGCCAACAGGCAGACTACTGATGAGGGAAGCTTTTTGCAGTTTCTTCCCTTTTTCTATTTCTAAATTCATAGGTTCTCTAAAAGCTTCAAGACTTGTTTCTTTCTATAGCAGGGGTAAGTGAGAGAGGGCTAGGGAGAAGTGGCAGCTCCAGTGGTTAGTATCTTTTATAAGCCAGTTTTAAATATTTAATTTGTGCAAAGAGTGACATCCCTCTCCCCACCTCCCCCAAGTGCTCTGGGTGCTACTTGGGACCTAAATCTAAAGTATGAGAGGGAATGAGGGGTTTCAAAAGTAGACAATTAAATTATGATAGATGGCATTGAACATATATGTTTACGTTTCAAATTTGTGACTTTTAAAAGTCGTGCACATAGCAGCATTATTCATAAAAGCCACAAAAGTGGATTCAACCCAAATGTCCATCAACTGATGAAGGGATATAGAAAATATGGAATATCCACACAGTGGAATATTATTTGGCAATAAAAAGGAATGAAGTATTGATACAGGCTACAACCTGCTTGAACCTCAAAACATTATGCTAGGTTGAAGAAGTCAGACACAAAAGACCATATATTGTATGATTCCATTTACATGAAATTTCCTGAATAGGCTAATCTATAGAGACAGGAAGTAGATTATTGGTTGCCAGGGGCTGGGGTGAAGTGATGGGAAATGGGGAATGATTGCAAATGGGTGTGGGGTTTATTTTGGGGTGCTGAAAATATTCTAAAATTGATTGTGGTGATGGTTGCACAACTCTGAATGTATTTTTTAATATATGATAACACAATACTACCAAATTGTACACTTTAAATAGGTGAATGGTATGGCATGTGAATTATGTATCAATAAGGCTGTTATTAAAAAAAGTAATACATATACATTATAAAAGACCAAAACACTACAAAATACAGTAACATAAAAGTTCCCTGCATCTGTACTACTCTTAGAATTTTAAATTATAATTTTGATTTTTCAGTTGATGCCATTGTAAACCCTGTACCAAAACCTAACGTTTGATTAGATCTTATAAGAAGTTTCCTTGTGCTACTTTAATATACTATTGTTCTGAGGACCAGCTATTGGCAAAGCACAAATATTTACTAAAAAAAAACTAGTAATAGCACTTTGGGAACAAATCCACTTCTGATATATTAAGGGAATGCCAAGGACCATGAAATAAAACAATTCTACAGGATGGCTGAGAAATTTTTTTTGATTGGAGCTGGTTTTTAACAGCCCCATCTCCTCAGCTTTTCCTCACTCTTTTTGACCAAAAAAATGGTGAATAGTGATTACCTTTTAGCTGAGCAATAATCTGAATACAAGTGCCAAAATACACCTTAAGAATTTATCCATGATCACAGATCACATCTAAATGAATCTGTAACACATGGAGAGAGAGGAATTCACGGACACTCACCTTCATTACATGGATGCTCAGCATGTTCTACAGCATCATTTATCTCCTTCTCTAGAAACCACTTTCTAGATGCATCTGAAAGGGCAGAAGCTTTCCTTTCTGATTTCAAATGGAAGTCTTTTTCTTCAGCTTCCTTCCACTAAATACAAAGAAGTGAAAACAAAAGATCACGTAAAAACTGGTAATACAAACTCTTGCAGCGGAATAAGCCCCTCTGTTTCCTCTCCTCCGCTTCCGTTTGTGTTTCCCGGCACGCAGGATCTGTGTGGAATCAGGGTAATGCGGGTGCCTGTCCAGCCCAGGGCTGCTGCAGAGCCTTGAAAGCAGAGGCACTTCTGATGCACCACTCAGCACCTCGGGTGCCACGTGCACACAACTGTCACTGAAATAAGAATCCATTTCAAATCTCAGATCTTATGGGATTAAGCTAGTTTTTAAATTAATGGCAATTGTTTTATTTAATTTGAATGCTATGCCTTTAAAGTCTACAAAATTCAGAGACTGAATTCTTTGCCCAGCTCTGGTGCACACGACTACAGGAAAGCCACGTAATCTCTATTAGCCCCTACTTTCTTCTTCCTAAAGTGAGAAAACAATCATCTTAAATTAGCTCCAAGGGTAACTAAAATAATAAATTTACAATACTATATAACTCCCAAAGTTTACCAAAGTTCTAGAGATGCTACAGCTTTTATATGCAAACACACATATAATTTTTATGTTATAGAAATGCTAATGCACTAACTATGCATTAAATAAAAAAAAACCTTGAAGACTCATTAAGGCCAGGAAGGATCACAGAGATCCGTCCCTTTCATGTCACTGATGAGGAGACTGAGTCTGAGTATCTTCCAAGGCCGCACAGCAGTCAAGCCAGCTTTAGAACCCCAGACACCAGACACAACAAAGGATCTCTCTCTGTGGAACATGAAGCCCTGACCATGACTCTCCGTCTCCTCTCAAATACCCCATTTCACCAGAGGAGAGCAGCACCCGATTCTACAGTCCAGCCCTAGTGTCGCAGTCCTTACCTTCAAGATGCGGGCTCCATCCCAACTTCCTGAGGAGAAGAGCCTCAGGGCCTCAGGGATCTGGGCATCCCTCCCGCCCCTCCCTGTCCTTGAATGAAAGGATTATAAGTTAGGGCCCCATACCCCTGGGGTGAGGAAGGAGGAAAATGAATCTGGAATAGTGACTTGAAGGAAATACATGATGGAAAGCTTTCAGAACAGACATTATGACAGAGCAGCAGAAAGAGGAATGGACTGAGGCCAGCTGTCTAGTTCCTGATCTCTGCCCAGCCCTTCAGTGTCCTCAGGGAAGTACACTGTGTCTGCAATACCTACAGAGCAAGGTCCCAGAGTTGTGGGGAGGATTGACCAAAAGACACACATGTGTGACATACACTCAAGTTGCCTCCTCAAATGCATTCTCTGATTCTTCTTTAGAACAGAATTCTAATTTTATTTGAGATGATAACGCTCCCTGCTAAAAATACTACATTTCCCAAAATCCTTTGCAGCCAAATGTGGGATTTCTGGAAAGGAGTTAAAAAGGAATTGTCTCAGCTGGAGGTGAAACCTTTTGCACTTCTGTCCTATATTCCTCCTGCTGAATGGAACGTATACGCGATGGCTGGAATTCCAGTCATCTTGGATGGTAAGGTATCCATGAGAATGAAAGACATAGACCAGGAAGCAGCAGAAAGGTTGAAGGAGGCAGTTTCCCTGATGACCTTGGAGCCAGGACACCAAGGACTGCCTACCTCCAAACTTCTTCCACGTGAAAAAGAAAAACACTTCTATCTTGCTTAAAGTCATTGTTATTTTGGTTTTTGTTCCTAGCAGCTACATCTAATTCTTAACTCTTCAAAATCTTTTACATTAACTATCGAGCATCAGGTAACTTAAAGCAGTAATATTATACAATCAGCCAGAGCAGATCCAAGAAGCTGAGAAGTTGAGACACACTACTGTAAATGAGGAAGAGGCTCAGTGATTTTTACTAGCATCAATGTTGGACTTCTTTGAGCAACATCTATTGAAATTAGATCATCTTTAAGATCTTTTCCAACAAAAATTATTTGGTTTGATGCTTCTGTCATTTGATTATGTAATGTTTCAAAATTTAAATGACTAAGAAGAAGTTTATAACATCATTCTTACCTTTTTAGCTTCCTCCTCGCTCATTGCATTTAATACTTCTATTTCTTTCCTTCTGTTTTTCTGAAGGAGTTTGGCCATTTCCTGGTAATGTTCACTTCGTTGTAGATCACTGCTTCTTTGTTTATGTAAAGCTTGAATTCGCCAGTCAGTATTTAGACATGCTTGTTCAGCTTTTGCCAAATTTTCTTCAATTAACTAAGAAAAATTTAAGAAACAAGATCAGACTATATAAAATTATGGTTTATCCATTCAAGGTACTCAAGTGTCTAGGGCAGTTGTTCACAACCCTGGTTGTACATTAGAATCACCTCAGAGTGTTTAAAACAAACTGATGTCTAGCCCCCACCACAAACCAACTAAATCAATCTCTGGGGCGGCTAGATATTGGTACTTTTTTTTTTAAATAGTGAAAGCCCTTACTTCCACCAATTGCTTTTTTTTTGCAGGGGAAGATTTGTCCTAAGCTAACATCTGTTGCCAGTCTTCCTCCTTTTTTTACCCCAAAGCCCCAGTACATAGTTGTATATTCTAGTTCTAAGTTCTTCTGGTTCTTCTATGTGAGCTGCTGTCACAACATGGCTACTGACAGATGAGTAGTGTGGCTCCGTGCCTGGGAACCAGGCCCGGGCTGCCGAAGTGGAGTGCGCTGAACTTTTAACCGCTAGGCCATCAGGGCTGGCTCAGGGATACTAGTACTTTTAGAAGCTCCTGAAGTGATTCTAATGTATAGCCAAGGCTGAGAACTTCTAGGCTAACGGACGGGTGGGATTAAACAATTTCCATGTTTCAACTCTTTGCAAATGAATCAGAAGAGCCCATTCTGACAGACTGGACAAAAGCCTATGAGAAAAAAAAATGGTGGGATATTCTGGGGGGATTGCTGTAGGACAGAAGGTAGGGAAACTTCACACTACGCCTGGATTTTGGACCAGGGCTAGGCCCTGCCACAGACCAATTAACATTTCCTTAAAGGGCTAACAGAGAAAGTTCTTTCTGGAAGGTCTCAAATTCTATTTCAATTCATTTAAGCCACCATTCCTGAAAGGGTACTCCATAAGAAATTCTATAAAATAAGTTTAGGAAATTTTCTTAGAGATACATAATGTACCATATCCTCAAATTTGACATGAAGAAAACCTAACTTTAAGACAGCATATCTATGGGCCGGCCCTGTGGCTTAGTGGTTAAGTGCGTGCGCTCTGCTGCTGGCGGCCCGGGTTCGGATCCCAGGCGCGCACTGACACACCGCTTCTCCGGCCACGCTGAGGCCGCGTCCCACATACAGCAACTAGAAGAATGTGCAGCTATGACATACAACTATCTACTGGGGATTTGGGGGGAAAAAAAATAAATAAATAAAATCTTTAAGACAGCATATCTAATACTTGTTTGCCATCTCCCATTTTATTGAATAATAAATAGTTACTAATATTCTCCAGAATATACTTTGGAAATGCTGGCTTATATACCAGGCAGAGACTTGATGTTTTGCAATTAATCTGCTCCGGGCCAATTTCTGAGACATGACACAGTAGGATACTACAACTTATAAAGTTACTAATTTCCTTTGTATTTTCTTCTGTCTTAAAATTCTTAAAGAGTATAAAAGACACATGTAGAAGGCTGTCACTGAAGTAAGTAACCTGTAAATAAAATAATGTGAGATTCTAGGAACTCTGATAACGGAAGCAAAGAAATGAATTAACTCAACTCTGCAGAGTTCAATTTTGAATTCCCTCTTTTAAAATGATGAAAAATAGAAATTTCTCCCTCAACATATATGCTAAATTTATCACATTTTTACCTTCTGAGTGTTTCGGATCTGAGTTTGATCTGTTTCTATCAGTTTATGAAACATGTGTTCTTCAAGATCCACTTTTCGTCTATAGGCATCTGCATCTTCTCTCATTTCTTTTGCAACAGCTTCTTGATTTCTAGTAAGATTCTGTTAAAAAATTATTTGTAAAAAAAAGTCACCAATCTATATAATAATAATGCTAGAACACAAAAATGACTTTTTTCCAGAATACTAATATGCTTACAAATAAAAAATGTAATCATCTAATTTTCAAAGTAAAAAGCAAACAGCAGTGACATCAGCAAAAATAAGAGTAAAGACCTCTGAAAATTCTCTCCTCCATAAAAGCACTGAGAACACTGGCAAACCCAACTTTTTCAGAACTTTGGAAATTAACTGAAGGTTTGCAGCAATTTGGGGAGCATGTATTCATAAAAATGCTAAGGACAGCAAGCTTTATGGCATTTTTAACTTGTATTATTCTTATTCCCACCCTTCCCCTCAGCTTTGCATTAGCCTTGAAAACCAGTAGCCTGACAGCCAATGGAGTGGGCAAAATGGAGTCTGAGCTCCTTCAAACTCCCTGTCCCACAGAATTGTCATCATCTGACTTGTGTGGTGGTTCTGGAAGACCCCACTCCCAAGGCTGCCTTTATTTGACCTGACTCAGAACTAGTTTACTTTTTTTGTGTGTGTGTGAGGAAGATTGGCCCTGAGCTAACATTTGCCAATCCTCCTCTTTTTGCTGAGGAAGACTGCCTCTGGGCTAACATCTATGCCCATCTTCCTCCACTTTATATGGGACGCTGCCACAGCATGGCCTGACAAGCGGTGCGTCAGTGCGCGCCCAGGATCCGAACCAGTGAACCCAGGGCCGCTGCAGTGGACGCGTGTACTTAACCGCTTGTGCCACCGGGTGGGCCCAGAACTAGTTTACTTTTAATAGCCTTTTCCCTGGGGATGTTTACTGAAAACAATCAGAGGAAACAGTTGAATATCTTGGCTGCCTGAGGCAGTGGATCACAGAGCAAACAACAGGCTAACCAAAAAGCTTTACAGGAAAAGGTGGGAATTAGATGTCCACAGGGGGCTTTGAAAAGCTTAGATAGATTCCCAGGACTCTAGAAGGCCTCGTGTATGTGTAAGGCTGTGCTCATGCCAAGGGCTGTGTGAATGCTCAGACCTGAGAAGGCCCTAAGCTCTCAGCTCTGGTGAACTGAGGTTCTGCACAATCAGGAAGTGAAATCTAAGACAGAGTTGTAAACTACCTAGCAGAGTGCTAAAGGTTAGCCTCAGCGTGATGCGCACAGAACCCCTTGGCAAAGACTAGAGGCTCGTTCAAGGCATCTAAGAAAATCTCTGTGCAATCAGTAAGCTAACTGAATAGAGACTTCAGCGGCTACACATGACAAAGAACAGAGAATTTACAGAATTAATTCAGAAAAGTCACTAAGCAAAGAAATGCTGGGGGGAGAGGGCAGAGGAGAATCTGATTCCAGAATTGCCACCTTTTATTACTTAAAATGTCTAGTTTTCAACAAAAAATTACATGACAGATTAAAAGCCAAGAACGTATGGCCCTACATACTTAGAATAGATATTAACCACATGATCTCCAAAGAAGATATAAAAATGGCCAATAAACATATGAAAAGACGCTTGACATCACAAGTCATTAGGGAAACACAAATCAAAACCACAATAAGATACAACTTCACACCCACTAGTATGGCTATAATCAAAAAGACAGACAATAACAACTGTTCATGAGAATGTAGAGAAATTGGAACTCTACACTCCTAGGTATATAACTCTACACTCTTAGGTACATGTAAGAGAACTGAAAACATAAAAAAGTCATACACGCATGTTCATAGCAGCACTACTCATCATAGCCAAAAAGGGGAAACAACCCAAATGAAGACTGGATAAACTGAAGACTGGATAAACAAAACGTGGTCTATCCATACAATGGAATATTATTCAGCCATAAAAAGGAATGAAGTACTGACTCATGCTACAACATGGATAAACAGTGAAAACATTATGCTACGTGAAAGAAGCCAGTCATGAAAGACCACATATTATATGATTTATTTATATGAAATGTCAAGAATAGGCAAATCCATAGAGACAGAAAGTAAATTAGTGGTTGCCAGGGGCAGGGGGATGGGGAGTGAGTGCTAATGGGTACAGTGGACGGGGGGAGGCAGCAAACAGTATTCATGAAGATTTAAGTTAAAAAAGCAAAATACCAATTTTATGTACTAAATAATCTCACTTATTCTTACTGATATTAGCAGTTATTTTCCGATAGAGGGATTTTTTTCTACTTTTCTAATTATCTACTGGCAGCATAATTACCTTCATAATTGGTTAAAAACAAAAATGTTTTTCAACTATATGTAGAGAAGATATATGTGTAAAGAAATTTATTGCCCAAAACTGTAAACCACTTAAACATCTAACAACAGAAGAAAAGTTGAAGTAAGTTATGTTCATTGATAGCCACCTGAAATGACAACTATGAAGATATATAGCCATCTAGAAAAAGGATTTCTTTTTTTTTTGGTGAGGAAGATAGTCACTGAGCTGACATCTGTGCCAATCTTCCTGCTCTGCAGATGGGATGCTGCCACAGCAAGGACTGATGAGCAGTGTGTAGGTCCACGCCCGGGATCTGACCCTGTGAACCTTGGGCCGCCAAAGCAGAGAATGCGAACTTAACCACTACACCACCAGGCTGGCCCCTTGAAGAAGGATTCTATTAAGTGAAAAAGAAAAGCAGAATATAGAATTTTAGCTACTCCATAAAGAGGTAAAATGATGTATGCGTACAGATAAGGATTAGGAGGAAAATAATGGAAATCTGAAAACGATGAAGAGCAATAAGATAGGGCGATGGTTTGAAGAAGCAGGCTGGGGAAGGAAGTTGTCAATTCATTTTGTAAAATGATAGAGTTTTCGGCCAAGGGGGAAGGAGGGAAACTAATATCTCTCTGGCTTGTTCCATATATCAGACACTGTGCACTAAAGGGTTAACTCAGGAGTCTGATTTATTCAAATCCTGCACATTCCAAAGAAAAGATTAGCCACTGACTAGCTCTAAGCCCTTGGAATATCCTGCCTAATAAGAGTGCCTCTGTATAGCTGGGGCCTTGGGCCATGCCAGACAGCTTATACGAGCAATGTTATTTATGGTGGGAGCCTTGGGCCACACTATAGTCAGTGTGACCACTGCTGAGTAGCTAAGCTCAGCCACGTGCACACTCCATGCTTGTACGACCAGCCCCAGTAAACCCTGGACACCAAATTCGGGTGAGCTGTTTGGTTGGTAGTACTCTACAAGTGTTGTCACACATCTTTGCTGGCAAAATTAAGTGCTATCTGTATGACTATCCTGGGAGAGGACACCTGGAAGCTTGTGCCTGGTCTCTCCTGGATGCCACCTGATGTGCCTTTACCTCTGCTGAGTTGAATCTGTATCCTTCTGCTGTAATAAACCATAACCATGAGTATAATGGTTTTTCTGAATTCTGTGAATCCTTCTAGCAAATCACTGAACCTGAGGGTAGTCTTGGGGACTCCTGACACAGACATAAACATGTTAACTTATTTAATCCTCATAGCAACCTTGGCAAGGCTGGTACTACGCCAAGGAGAAGGCACACGCGCAGGAGGACAGGGAGAAGACAGAGACGGAGAGACAGAAAATGGACTTGATGAAACAAGGCCCTAGAAAAAGAAGAAGGGGATAGGATCTGGATCACAGGGCTGTATTTGCTTCTTTGTTTGTGCTTAGTTTTATTCTTTTGTTAAAAAAATTTTATTCAAATTAGATATATATGGAATGTTGAGCTCCTATTTCCAATAGAGGTAACCACAATATTGTCTGCTTTCTGGGATATAGTTTGTTTAGAAATAGACACATTTAGGGCCGGCCCCGTGGCTTGGCGGTTAAGTGCACGCTCTCCGCTGCTGGCAGCCCGGGTTCGGATCCCGGGCGCACACCGACGCACTGCCTCTCCGGCCATGCTGAGGCCGCATCCCACATACAGCAACTAGAAGGATGTGCACCTATGACATACAACTATCTACTGGGGCTTTGGGGGGAAAATAAATA